TTCGGCAATGGCGTAGAAGCCTAACATTTCTTGGGTAATAGTGTAAAGAACATAATCACAAGTTTGTCTTTGGCGGATTTCTTCTTGCTGAACTTGTTCATTTCAGTCGGCTACTACGGGGTTAAAATAATTAATTTGTAATTGAGGGATTAATGCTTCTCGTCAAGTGGAATTATTTACGGTGCCACCTAAGAATACTTTTTTAGTCATAAGGTTATTTAATTATATTATTAACTTCAATATTAGCCTGAAATTCCTCTTCAACTTTTTCTTGCTCAACTAAGTAATTTTTAACTTTTTGATAAAAAGTGCAAAAAGTTCACATATTTTCAGTTTTCATATTCAAAGAAGTTTGGTTATCATTGTGCTTATCAGCAGAAATATCAACTTCAATTTGCGGTTGAGTTTCTAACTCTTTTTTAGTCAAACCTTGACGATAATTAATGACTTCTTTTTCTAAGTTTTTCATCATTTTTGCGACTTCTTCTAGTTTAATTAATTCACTAGCAAATTTTTCTCGTTCATTAGTCAATTCATCAATGTCTATTTCTTCATTTCCATCCTTATCATATTCTTTTAAGAAAATATCAACTTCATTTTTTAAATTTTTTAGAGCTATATTTACTATCCCAGTCTCACCTATTTGAACTTGTTTTAATATACCTAATAATTCATTGTAATTATCTAAAAAAGTATCCGCATCAACTAAAAATTCACTTCATTTCACTTTTTTAGCATCATAATAATCGGCTTTTAATTGCGAAGCGCCACTACCAATTAAAGGAGCCACCAAAGCAATAACTCCCCCGGTAGTTGAATAATCCAATAAAGTCAAAGCACCTCCGGCAACCGTAATAGAAGTGGAAGCTCATTCTACACTACTGAAATAGTTAAATTTATTGAATTGTTCGGGAGATTTTAATTTACTTAACTCAGTTTTATCAGCTTTATCTTTGCTACCTCATTTTTTGAGAAACTGCTTGATATTGCTTCTAATCACAAATAGTCTTTCCAAAGGAATAACGGAGGCAATTTTGCTATTTTGCCGGTCTTCTTTTTGTTTTTCTTCTAAGTGTTTTCAATGGTTTTGTAAACCTTGAAGTTTTTCTTCTAACCTAACATTTTTTGCTTGGGCACTAGTCGCAATATCACTACCCAACTTTTCCATTTCTCCCTCTTGTTCAGCAGTCAAATCAAGTCCTAATTCCTTTTTAGCATA